GACAGATGGATCACCTGAGGTCAGGAGTTCGAGACCAGCCTGGCCAACATGGCAAAACCCCGTCTCTACTAAAAATACAAAAATTCACTGGTTGTGGTGGTGCACACCCGTAGTCCAAGCGACTCAGGAGGCTGAGGCAGGAGAATCACTTGAACCTGGGAGGTGTGGAGTTTGCAGCCCACTGAGATTGTGCCACTGCATTCCAACCTGGCTGAGAACAGCAAAGCTCCATCTCAAAAAAAAGGAAAGAAAGAAACACATTTGAGAATGTTTTCTACTTGCTGTTGACTTGACTATCTGAGGTTCTGCTGTAAAATGAATATTCTAGGTACTGGCATGCCAAGGGTGCAATTTCAGGATGCTTGTTAGAACGAAAATGAAAAATGAATCTGAAAAGCAAAGGCTCAATGGAAGATATGTCATGCTACATGGCCCAACGCTGGGTTACCTATGTCAGCGATGAGGCTGCCTGGCTTCTGCTCTTGGAGGAACTGGCGGACACGAGGCCAGGCTTTGCTCTGCAGGTCATTGAAGTAAGGGGCTGTGCTCTCGTACACATTGTGCACATGCTGCTTCTCCAGCTGGGCAGCTTCATGATCCATCCTGGGGAAAACAGGACCAACTCAAGGAATGCAGGTCAGCCAATGCACCATAGATGGCTGAAGGACGATGCAGATTTCCGAAAATTTAGAACCTATAACTGGAAAAGTTGTGCTGTTCCCACACTTTCTTATAAGCTGCAAAGAACAATATCTTCAATGTAACCTCACCATAGTTGCCAAAGACTAGCAAATGCATAGTTTTTACCTGCTATGTTAAGGAAAACAATGGTTTGATAATGAACTAATTATGGTATAGTAAGTTCCTCTGCAAGATGAATTCTTAATTTTGGAAGCATAGCCAAAATTCTTACCAAATGGTTTACTTTGGATAAGACCATTGTATCTGATGCTAATTAGATTTCAAAATTTCATAACAGGTAGTTCACCATTTCAATGCAGTAACAGAGCCTTATTAATTCTACCTTTTTAGTGTTTGGGTTCCAGTCATGTCTCTGTATCACTACTGCTTTCATTTTAGCGTAAGTGCCCATTTCTTTACTGAATTACTTCAACAGCTGGCAAAAAGTTCTCTTGCCCTTCAATGCTTTTCCCAATTTCAATTATGTCATAATTATTTTTGTAAAATATAGGTCTGATTGTGTTGCTTCTTATTTATTTATTTTTAATTTTCATGGGTACATAGTAGGGGTATATATTTATGGAGTACATGACATGTTTTGATACAGGCATGCAAGATGTAATGATTGCATCAGGGAGAAAGGGGTATCCATCACCTCAAGCACTTATCCTTTCTATTACAAACAATCCAATTATACTTTTATTCATTTAGAAATGTACAAATAAATTATTTTTTACTATAGCCACCCTGTTGTGCTAGCAAATACTAGATCTTACTCTATTTTTTGTGCCCATTAACTAGCCCCACTTCCCTGCCACCTCCCCACTACCCTTTGCAGCCTCTCGTAACCATCCTTCTACTCTCTATATCCGTGAGTTCAATTATTTTCATTTTAGCTTCCACAAATAAGTGAGAACATACGAAGTCTGTCTTTCTGTGCCTGACTGATTTCAGCTAACTTAATGACCTTCATTTCCATTCATATTGTTGCAAATCGCAGGATTTCATTTTTTAAAATTTTCATGGCTGAGTACTCCATTGTTTATATGTACCACATTTTCTTTATCCATTCATTGGTTGATGGACACTTAGGTTGTTTCCAAATCTTGGCTGCTGTGAATACTGCTGTAATAAAACACGAGAGTGCAGGTGTCTCTTGGATATACTGGTTTCCTTTCTTCTGGTTTTATACCTAGGAGTGGGATTGCTAGATTGTATGGTAGCTCTGTTTTCGTTTTTTTGTAGAATCTCAAAGCTGTTCTCCATAGTGTTTGTACCAATTCACATTCCCACCTATTGTGTATAAGGGTTCCCTTTTCTCCACATCCTCACAGCATTTGTTATTGCCTGACTTTCAAAGAAAGCCCATTTTAACTGGAGTGAGGTGGTATCTCATTGTAGTTTTGATTGGCATTTCTCTGATGATCAATGATGTTCAGCACTTTTTCATATACCTGTTTGTTATTTTTTTATGTCTTCTTTTGCAAAATTGTCTGTTCAGATCTTTTGTCCATTTTTATTTTTATTTTTATATATTTAGATGGAGTCTTGCTCTATCACGCAGGCTGAAGTGCTGTGGTGTGACCTTGGCTAGCTGTAACCTCTGCCTACCCTGTTGAAGCAATCCTCCTGCCTCAGCCTCCTGAGTAGCTGGGACTACAGGTACGTGACACTACACCTGGCTAATTTTTGCATTTTAGTACAGACGGGATTTCATCATGTTGACCAGGCTGGTCTTAAACTCCTGACCTCAAGTGATGCACCTGCCTTGGCCTCCCAAAGTGCTGGTATTACAGATGTGAGCCACTGCACCTGGCCATTTTAAAATCAGATTATTAGATTTTTTTCTGTAGAGTTGTTTGTGCTCCTTATATATTCTGGTTATTAATCCCTTATCAGATGAGTAATTTGCAAATGTTTTCTCCCATTCTGTGGGTCGTCTCTTCACTTTGCTGATATTTCCTTTGCTTTGCAGAAGCTTTTTAACTTGGTGTAATCCCATTTGTTCATTTTTGCGTTAGTTGCTTATGCTTGTGGGATACTACTTAAGAAAACTTTGCACAGTCCAATGTCCTGGAGAGTTTCCTCAATGTTTTATTTTAGTCATTGAATAGGTTTGGTCTTAGATTTAAGTCTTTATTCAATTTTGATTTGATTTTTTTATATGGTGAGAGATAGGCATCTAGTTTGAATCTTTTGCATATGGATATCCAGTTTTCCCAGAACCATTTATTGAAGAGACTATCATTTCCCTAATATATCTTCTTTTCTTGGCACCTTGTCAAAAACGAGTTCACTGTAGTGTCTGTTTTTATGCCAGTACAAAGCCTTTTTGCTTGCTATAGCTCTATAGTATAATTTGATTATACTACAGGTAATATGATTCTTCCAGTTTTGTTATTTTTGCTTAGGATGGCTTTGGGTATTCTGAGTATCTGAGATTCCATATACATTTTTAGATTTCTTTTTCTATTTCTATGAAGAATGCCACTGATTTTTTTTTTTATAGGGATTGCATTAAGTCTGTGTAGATTCCTTTGAGTAGTATGGACATTTTTTACACTATTGATCCTTCCAATCCATAAACATGGAATACCCTTTTCTTTTCTTTCTTTTTTTTTTTTTTTTTTTTTTTTTGGTCTTCTTCAATATCTTGCATCAAAGTTTTATAGTTTTCATTGTAGACATCTTTTACTTCTTTGGCTAATTCCTAGGTATTTTCTTGTATTTGTAGCTATTGTAAATGTGATTGCTTTCTTGATTTCTTTTTTAGATTGTTTACTGTTGACATATAGAAATGCTACTGATTTTTGTATGTTGATTTTGTATCCTGCGACTTTACTGAATTTATCAGTTCTAATAGTTTTTTGGTGGAGTTTTTAGGGTTTTCCAATTGTAAGATTATATCATCTGCAAACAGGGATAATTTGATTTTTTCCATTTCAATTTAGATGTTCTTTATTTCTTTCTCTTATCTGATTGCTCTAGCTAGGACTTCTGGTACTATGCTGAATGACAGTGGTAAAAGTGGGCATCTTTTTTGTGTTCCAGATAGAAGAAATGCTTTCAGTTTTTCTCCATTCAGTATAATACTAGCTGTAGGTCTGTCAAATATGGTTTTTATTACACTGAGGTATATTCCTTCTATATCCAGTTTTTTGAGGGATTTTTTTTTTCTTTCTTTTTTTTTTTTTTTGACAGAGTCTCACTCTCACCCAGGCTGGAGTGCAGTGGCATGATCTTGGCTCACTGCAACCTCTGCCTCCTGGGTTCAAGCAATTCTCTGGCCTCAGCCTCCTGAGTAGTTGGGGCTACAGGTGTGTGCCACCACGTCCGGCTAATTTTTAGTAGAGACGGTGATTAACCGTGTTAGCCAGGATGGTCTCGATCTCCTGACCTCATGATCTGCCTGCCTTGGCCTCCCAAAGAGCTGGGATTACAGGTGTGAGCCACTGCACCCAGCCTTTTGAGAGCTTTTATCATGAACGGATGCTAAGTTTTATTAAGTGCTTTTTCAGCGTCAATTGAAATGATCATACAGTTTTTATTCTTCATTCTGGTGATATGAGGTATCACATTAATTAATTTGCACATCTTGAACCATCCTTACATCCCTGGGATAAATCCCACTTCATCATGATGAATGATCTTTTTAATGTGTTGTTGAATTTGGTTTGCTAGTATTTTGTTGAGAATTTTTGCATCAATATTCATCAGTGACATTGGCCTATACCTTCCTTTTTTTAAATGTGTCTTTACCTGGTTTTGGTACTGGCCTCATAGAATGAGTTTGGAAGTATCTCCTATTCCTCTATTTTCTGAAATAATTTGAGTGGGATTGTTATTAGTTTTTCCCTAAATATTTGGTAGAATTCAGCTGTGAAGCCATTGGGTCCCAGGCCTTTCTTTGCTGCGGGACTTTTTATTACCGCTTCAAACTCATTATTTGTTATTGGTTTTAGATTTTTTTCATGCTTTAATCTTGGTAGGCTGTATGTGTCTAGAAATTTATTCATTTCTTCTGGGTTTTCCAATTTATTGGCATATACTTGCTCATAGTAGACACTAATTAAACACTGAATTTCTGCAGAATCAGTTGTCTCCTTTTTTCATCTATGATTTTATTTATTTGAGCCTTCTCTCTTTTTTCCTTAGTCTGGCTAAAAGTTTGTCAATTTTGATTTTTTTTAAAAAGACAACTTTTTGTTCATTGATTGTATTGTTTTCTTCATTTCAAACTCATTTATTTCTGCTCTGATGTTTGTTATTTCTTTTATTCTACTAATTTAGGGTTTGGTTTGCTCTTGCTTTTCTAGTTCTTTAAGATGCATCATTGGGTTGTTTATTAGAAGTTTTTCTTCTTTTTTGATGTAGGCACTTATAAAATTCCCTCTTAATATTGTCACAGTCTGGGCTTGTCTGTACCTGTCCTTCTTGAGAAAGCTTTCCAGGTATCCAAAAGAGTTTGGGTGTTGTTATCTAAGACCTAAGCTATATCTACATTAGGGGGCGCCCCATCCCATTAATACTGTGGTTCTCGCAGACTCATAGAGGTACCACCATGATGGTCTTGGACAAAATCTGGAAGGATTCTCTGGATTACCAGGCAGAGACTCTTCTTCTCTTCCCTTGCTTTCTCCCAAACAAAATGACTCCCTCTCTCTTTGTTCTGAGATGCCTTGAGCTGGGAGTGGGGTGATGCAAACACTCCTGTGGCCACCACCACTGGGGCTGTGCTGAGTCAAATCTGAAACTAGCACAGCAGTGGGTCCCCCCTAGGGCTCACTGTAACCACTACCTGGCTACTGCCTATGTTTGTACAAGGCCCTGGGGCTCTACAATCAGCAGATGGGGAAGCTTTTCCTTCAGAGTGGCAAGGTCTCCCAGGCCCTGGGCAGGTCTACGGGTGCTGCCTAGGAGCC